AACAAACCTTAAACATGTTGAAACTTGAAACGTTAGTCCTCTGATCCAAGGCGGTCCACTTTGAGCAGTTCTTTCATGTTCTTTCCATCCCTTAGGCCATCCTACACATCCCTTAGGCATCCTTAGGCATCCTTAGGCATCCTTAGGCCCTAAAGGCCTTCATCATCTTCCGGTTCGTCAAAGTCTTCGAACTGAGAAGGGTTGCGCTCAGCTTCGTCCACATCAGCATTGCACAATCTCATGGCTCAATGCACATCTCGTAGTGGCAACTCTCATGAGACACTGTGCCACGATGCCGCGTTGTTGAGTTTGGACTTCTGCCTTGCTGTTGGATGCTATATCAGCTATATCTTATACATTCTTAAACTCATCTTTAAAGTAGGCCACCTTGCAGGGTGCTGAATCTATATTTTCAATCTTCTCCTTCAAAAAGAATACTGATTGTACAGATTTAAGACCTCTTGTGCACTATGAGGAATCCTTCGGAGGTTTCTCAGCCGCCCTGAACATTGTTGGGGATCCATGGAATCCACAATGCTCAAAACTTTGTGGAGAGTCTAAATTGCACCAATCTACATCCCTGTGGTGATCATGAGATCACGTGGGAACAATTCAATCGCGCCCTTTAATCATCTTTAATCTGCACAACTCCATTGCCTCCAGGGCTACCCTCAGCCTATGGCCTATGAGGACTTACGAAGACCGATGCAATACCACGGGTCAACTTTGGTCGGACTTCCTGGTGCTTTTGGCTGCCACCCTTTTTTTCAGCACCGACTGCTGGTTGGTCATTAGCTGATTAGCTGCAGGTGAGCTTGCTACCGTAGGGCTACCTTTTGCCAGGGAAGCTTTGCCTTGGACAGCTTCAATGCGAAATTCTAATGACCCGTATCCACTGGGCAAAGGCCCACCAAGTGCATGCTTCAAACAACGCGGAATTGGCTGACCAGGCAGAAATTACGAAACCAAGTTGAGGCTGTAGCAGCTTTCTTTGGAAGATGCCAAAAGGACAACCGAAGTGACTTAAAGTGACCGCAGCGACAGTACTGATAACATCTCTGATCTCAACAGGTTCAAACACTTATATGTTTAAGGCGATGCCTTTGATGTGTCCTTTGGCACCCTCAGCATGCTCAGCTTTGGAGGGACACCGAGCCACACCCAGTGACTGGTGAATCTCGACCCACCTCAGATCCTCACTGTACCCACTTTGCTGATCTTGTATCGATCAAAGGCTGCAAAGTAAGCACTGGTGCCCATATCTTGGGATTGCCATTGACGGCCCAGCCTGCCGTCAAACGCTTGGAAACATTTGAAGACTCAAGTCCGGCCATGCGCCAGCTCCCCAACCCAAGCAAGCAGTGAGCTAAAGGTGGACCAAAGCTGAAACTGTCTGCAACTCATTGGTTTAAGTCAGCAGATTTAACTTGGCTGTGTGTGGATTGTCGTGAGCATGCTGTGGGGCATGTGCCTAGCAAAGCATTTGCCAGAAGTGCGCCTGCCATTCATCAAGCTCTGGTCTATAAAACTCTGAAGATGAAAGCACGCTGCCATTTTGCCCTCCAGTCACCTGAGAGCGCGAAGTCCGCGGTGCGACCAGGAGAGCAAAAAGTCCATAAAAATGCGATGAGAGTTGAGACAAGTTGAGACAAGTTGAGACAAGTTGAGAACATCATGGATTGATGCTGAGGACACTGCCATGATAGAGTCCGAAATGACTGCAGCAGCGAAATCCATTCGAGATTCCTGGAAAAGTGCGGCCGCAACAGCAACAAGCCACGGGAGTAAGTACAAAGTTCCATAGACAATGTGCAAGTGTCTTTAGCGTGCAAAGTGAATTTTAATACCCACTCTTACTGACTACCCTAGACAAACTAGACAAGGGATGTGAGGGTTAAAGCATGTGAAAACTGGAGCTGGAATGAGCTGGAAAAATTATGCGGCGTCCCCGGCCTGCATTGGCGCACGTAAGGTGAACACATGATCATCGGGATCTAAACACTCCGCTGAGAAGTGAATCCTTTCCGCCAGGCATGACCGCCAGCAGCTGGCATGATCCATGGGGAGTCTGGTGGCAAAACAATAGCAAGGATTGAAACAGTTGAAACGGCTGAAACCTACACCGCAAAGCAATGAAGGACAAATGTTTAAACATGTTGAAACTTTAGAACAGCCAAAATGAGACTGCAATGGAACTACTTTCAACTTGACCAATTCAATTATATATATATATAACTATATATATATATTCATTCCCCCTGCCCATGCAATTTTCTGTTCCGATGCTGATGATGCTTGGAACCAGCGTCCTGTGGTCGTTGTCTGTGCCACCCATAGCAAAGACATGATGGACGCAGTTCGCAGCCTGCAAACGGATGAACCTGTGGAAATGCAACTTTTTACGAGATATCGTTTTCTGAGGTTTGGTGCAGTAGCTGCCAACACAAAAACATTAAAGTTGTCTACACAGCCACGTGACCTGCCCTGCAGAACGTGCATCGACCATCTCTGTCTTCAAGGACTCCCACCGATTGGCACGAGGATCGAACACGTCGACCGTTCGAAGCCTGGCACATGGCGATGCAAGGGGCACAGTGGTTTCATATGGCTTCAAGAGGCTTCAAAAAGGGTTTAAACTTTAACATGGTAAACATTTCAACATCTTGTAACATTTTGAACACATTTTAAACACATTTAAACACACTTAAATAGATATTTCAAATATTTCTATAAAACATATCTTTAAATTGCTTGAATCACCTTGAATCTGGCTCAAAGAATTTCACGGCTTCAAACTTTCACGCTTGCACCTGGTCCCAGAAGTTCCTCCAAGCACCCACAGTTTTCCACCATTGACAGTGGCCATGGGGGAAGAACGACCGCTTGGCAAAGGCTCCATCTGCATCCAACTCCTTAAGGCATTCTTAAGGCATTCTTAAGGCATATCTTGGGGGGGATCCCGGGATTCTGACATATTCACATGGCACTCGCATCTGATTCTGACATCTGACAAAGCTTCAGATGCGAGGTTGAAACATGTTGAATCAGTGCCAGTTGCCGTCAGTGATATGGGTGATGTGCAAGTGAAAACAACAACAAATCCCCAAGCAACTATCGACGATGCGTAATAAGTACTGTAATACAAGTAACAAGTTGTAAATAAGTAATAAATCTGCAATGCCAAGGCGCTTCAAGCGGCTGTCATAAGCCTGCACGGGCTCAACATGCCAACCCCATAAAAATGGATGGCTTGTCTTGGCCAAGGCAGGGGAAAGACATGTTTTCCCGGGGCGAAGAATCGACCCCGTCCTGTCACCAGTCATCACCAGTCATGGATTGTTCCGGTTGTTCCTGTCAGTGCATACCATCTTTGCAGCCGGCCTCGACCGAATCAATGATCCGAGTGCCATCGAAACCTGAAGAACCAGAACTCCCAGGCTGAACATCAAAACACAAAAAAAAGACATACATCATGAATCATCATGACATATCATGACCATGCATGACATTTGTGGCATTTCATGACAAAATGGCACAATGGTCAAGTCAGTCAAGTCATCCCCATTTTGTGCACTCCAGGCTGGGGGAAATGGGAAATTAAAGTTCGGGACCTCCAATGGCATAGATACGGCCCTCCAGCTCGCAGCTGGCGCAATTTCGCCGCGCAAAGCGCATGGCCGAACCCACCTTCACGACGAGAACTTCACGAGAACTTTCCACCAAAAACATGACGTGAATCAACGGCGAATGCTCAATTCATCTCAATTCACAGCATGGTATTGCTGTATATTGCTGTTACAATCCGGATCAATCTACGCTTTGGGTCTCTTTTGGATATGCAGAGTTGGCCTCCCAGGTGTCACGAAGACAGTCATAGATCTCCACATCGCAAAGTGCCTTTTACAGTGGAGCTGCAGCAGCAAAGGGATGTTCTGAAACATGGCATGCTAAGCAGAGCCGTCCAGAAACCATAGTGTTCCAAAACCGCTGCCACAGTATGCCATCCTTTGAGACCGAACCGAGACCGAACCTTGTAGTCCAAATTCTGCCCACCGAAAACGTGCAAGCGGTTTCGCAGTGTGGCTGCGCCGAAGTAGGTCCGTTCCTTGGAATTTATATCAAGCCCTGCATCAACCGATGTGGACAAGAGTGTCGGCAACATGGGCAAGCGTGATGGCATGTGATGGCCAACCTTATGCCACCATATCGGTCTACTTCCGACACCATCTGTCCTTCTGCTCCATATTTCCCCATGGTTTTGGTACGATGTTTGGTTTCCTTGATCTACAATGACGATCCGACGATCCATGACGTCACCTTCCGTCACGTTATTTCACCGTGGCTTGGAAATGGCCAGGTCTCTGTGGCCATGGCCCTGCAGGGTCGCCAACATTGATTTCCCACATCCAGCACCTGTCGCGAGTCGCCAGTTTAAACAGTTTACTGTCGCATGCGGTCGGAATTTTCTGGGATTCTGATGATTCTCTGTGAAAAGATATAAAATAAATCAAAACATGTTAAACACACCAAAACAATTTTGGCGGTAACAAAGTCAGACAGAGATTCAACCATTTGGATCCATTTGGGACTTGTTGAGGGCTGATTTTGCAGACTTCACAGTGTTGGCCCCAAGGAGACTGAATCATTTTGCAATATTTTGCATAATCTATCTGAGAATATCTGATATCTATCTGATATCCATCTGATCTATCTGCGATTGCGATATCTGGCACTCACAGGCGATATCCTCAGCCTAGCCTCCATGGCACGCAAATGTTCGTACCCATCATGGCCTCCCACTGCAAAGACTAACCTGGAGTGCGATGCAAAGTGCAACATGGGCGATGATACGTACGTTGCGCTCAATGCGCTCAGTCAAACTTAACGGCCTTGATCTCAGCTCAGCCTGCCTATGTCCTATTTGCTGTGAATGGCTGCCTCTTCATTGGCTGGCTAGCTTGTCACAAAATAACACCGGAATAACATGGAATAACTAAGTCAGCGGAAACGACTTTGATGAAGAATCACGGAACTGGTTGCTTTGAGACTTGTTGGGCCCTAGCTTCTGTGTTTATCTTTCTCCCAGGCACGGGAAGGGGAAGAAGTGCACACCATAGAAAGCTGCTTCCTCCCGGCCAACTCATTGAAATCATGAACAAAGGATGAAAAAGGTCAAAACTCTCTGGAATACTGGACATGTTCCAAGTGAAGTGGACAACCTGCGCATAACATGTGCGAAAATAGGCAAACTTCACCCCCATTTGAAGCCTTCAAGGTCAGTTGGTCCCACATGCTCCAACTCCCTGATACTTCATGATACTTCCTATCTGCTCAGCTGGCAGCTGGTCCGTGGCTCCATGTGGCTCCTGTACCAGAGCTTCTGACTCAGCTGTGTCCCTCGGCATCGGAGGCGTGTGCGGATTCCGAAGGAAGTTCAGGATGGTGCGGAAGTGGTCCGGATCACCTGGGTGGGCAGCGGCAGGCCAGGCAGGCCGCTGGCACATGGTGGCACATAGTGGCACATAGTGGCATTGGCGAGGGCCATTTCCAGCCTAAAACCGGCCATCTATGGCCTATAGATTCCTATAGTCCCTTTAGACTTAGTTTTAGAGGGTAGTCCAGCAAGATCGAACGAGAGCCTGTGGAAGATTTGTGGAGGCCATCAACAAAGATTTTTGGAACAATGGAGATGGACTGTCATTGACTCATCTTCTGGATCTGAAGGGTTACAAAATGATACAAAGTTGTAAGATCAAATGTATCAAAAGTTGTAAGTTATACCTACTGGAAAATTGAACGGGTGCCTCTAAATCCTGTGCAGTGCCCCAATTCCAAGTCATTCAGGTAGTCAATCGCTGCTCCAAGAAACGGTTCAGAAATATCCGACCATAACCTAAGTTCCGCAAGAGCTATAGATGGAGCTATAAGATCAAAGCCTTGACATCCAGAATGGGGTCTGCGGTCTGCATCAGGTTGCCAAAAATAAGCTTGAATCTTGCAAAGCGACGGACAAGTTTGAGGCACCCTGTAAACTATGTTAAGTGTTTGATGTTATTAAACTATGAACATCACTTACGACTTCGCGCAAATCTTCCAATGATATCATGATGATGGTGGTGGTAATGATGGTGATGATAGCTGATAGTGATGATGGTGATGATGACGGCAATGATAACGGGGACGAGGACGAGGAACGCACCCCAACTTTTCATGAGGTGGAGCGATTCTCTTGTGAGAAACGTGACACAGCGATCTGAGTGATAAAGAAGGCAAGACTGATAGCCAAATGCATCCAAATTTCAAAATGGGGATGGCAGCATGGCAACATGGGATTGGGAGTTTTGCAACTAAGTGACGATCCCGACTGACCTGATACCTTAGCCAGCCGATAGTTAATGAGCCATGCACTGCAGAGCAGTCGAAATGGTAAAACATAGAGAAATAGTGTTCCTGTGGCTTAGATGCATTCTTACATCATCTTACTTCATCTTACTTCCGGAGCAGAAGTCGTGAGGATGCTCCACACTTCGAACTGCATAGTATTTCAAGTGATGTCCAATGCTGTGTCAATGATTCCATGAGGTTCCATGAGGTTCCATATGGTTCCATATGGTTCCATGTGTCAAGTGATGCTCCATGGTCCATGTCATGGGTGCTACGAGGTGCCTGCCAGAGAGGAGGCTCTCCAGGAAGCTGCCGGATTGCTGAACCAACGTCGACCGGGTGGTCTCGAAAACAGTGCCTGACCGGTGAACCGGTGAAACATGGTGAAACGATCCGATTGGTTCGACATGGTTCGACATCACCCGTCACATCAGTCGACAAAAAAACAACAATTGCTGCACTCAAACATGGTGATACAAGAATATATCAAGAATATCAAACAAATGCACACTTACACAGACACATTGCCTGAATGTGGACATTGAATTACTAATGTTATAATGTGGAGTGTCATCTCGTAAAGTCCCTTTGCATCTTCATCGTCCAGGGCGTCGTCCTCATCATCTTCATCTTCACAGCTTTTACACAAACACTCTTTTTACACCAACCACAGTTACTGCAGAAACCAACTCTTGCACCAACCAGCTTTTACACAAACCAACTTTTACACAGACTCGCTTTTACACACCACACCTTTCCTGCACTTACGCCAACCAGCTTTTACACAAACCTGGTTTTACCCGAACCACCTTTTGCACCGACCAACTTTTACAGCAACCAACTTTTACACCAACCAGCTCTTGTCTTTCTTTGCCCCGACCAGGTTCAGCCAAAAAACAGCCTGGTGGCCGGCGGAATGCCGAGGGCTACTAAATAACAAACATGCACACACACATGTTATATATATAATTATATATAATTATATTATAGTTATTTTGATTGTGTTGCACAACGGTCCACGGGCATCCACGGGAAACGTTTCTCATATCATCATAACATATCACAACGTCACGACGAATGTGGCACCAATCTGCCAAGGCTCCTCCCACGTTCAAATCCACGGTGCTCTCTGCTGCCAGCTGAGGATTGGCCAAACGCTGCCGATCAGCTTCGAAAAGGCCGTACTCTTGGCCTTTGACGAATGACGAGAAGCAAGGCTACGTCATCACACGTCATCACCAATCACTCATCGTGGCTATCCAGTCCATCCAGGGATGTCACGTGTCGATGACAAACCACGACTTGAAAAAGTGAAAGACAGTCACCGCATGCCACCACCATGAAGTTTCAGATGCATTTTCGGGCGCAGGCTGCAAGCTGCAGGCAAGCAGCGAAACTTCTCATACTCGTGGGCAACGCTCCGTCGTCTTTGAGAGCCTTCCTGCTCAACCTTGTTGCATCTTGTTGCATCTTATTGCCACAAAAGCATCCAGAAGTCATGTAGCCACTTGCCATATCTTGCCATCCACAACAGGATCCCACAAAAGCACAGGGGCTCAACATGGCTCAACGTTCCTCTGAAAATTTGAAAATTCTTTCTCAATCATGTTCGCTACATACTTCTCATATCTTTTCATATCTTTTCATTATGTTTCATTATGCATATTGTGCACTCGATATGCTTCGGTGCCATGGCAATGCTTCGTCGCTTTGGTCAAGCTGCCCGGAGACGCTCTTCGCTAATTCGCTGTCGGGCCTCCTCGATGTCTGACTGCACTTGCCTCCAGGCTTGAGGGAGCAGCGAAACGACATGAAACGACCAACATGAAACGACCAATACCAACTGTACCAACTGTAATTACCAGGTATCTGTTCGTTCTGTTCGTGCTCGTACTTTGTGCCACACAATTCTTCAAGAACTTTCAATGGCTCGGATCGTCCAAATGTGAAGTGATGAAAGGAAAACTGCAGTCCGCGGCTATCACTTCACAACTCGGAGCAGCGCGCGGCTATTCTCCCCGCCTCAGATGCGTAGCCATCTCCTCCTCTGCGTGGCGACGATCCTCTCGGATTTTCTCCACCTGTCCAAGCTGATATTTTCTCGGGCGTAAATGTATGTAAATGTGAGATAATGTGAGTAAGTGATCTGCTTTCTGCAGCATTGCTTTTGGACCACAACATGCACATGGGCGGGTTCAATCAAGTTCACCTTTGTACTCTATTTGATATAACTTACCAAGAACTTCAAGGATGCATTTCACATCATTTTGATATCATTTTAAGATCATTTCAATTTATTTTACATGTATGTTACTGTATGTTACTGTAATTATGTTTGTTCAAACCCAACTGGCCCAGTTGCATCCAGTTGCCCATGTTCTGTGCGCTGCCTCGCGCTGCTTCTCAGCCATGAACTGCTGCCAGACTGAGAGTTTCTCTTCCTCAAAGGCTTGGCGCCCTCGCCTGGACAGGTCAGCAGCCTTCTCAAACAGTTTTTTTCCATCGAATCATGATCACTTGTTGATCTTCTTGAGAATGTCCTTTCTCCTTGTGTTGTTCTTCCCTTAATCTCCAACAAACTGAAGTTCAATGAAGCTGAAGTTGATGTAATTTTGCCATGCAGCACAACTTTTTCCTGCCTGATGTCACTGCGGTGCTGCTTCGTTTCAAGCTCTGCCTTTTTCAGCCAGCCCACGAAACTCCTCCGCAGGTCGCTCACCTCACACCAAAGGGTCAACGGGTCTACTTTTGGCACATGGACGACAACATCACGTTTGCAAGAACCTACTACCAACGACACCAATAGCTGACCAAGTAGACGAAACATGGCCAAATATGACCAAACTGTCCCAAACCCAGAAACTGCACATTTAGTCTGCAAACAAGGAAGCAAAGTAATCTGTGAGAATCTGCATGGTAGAGACTGCTATCTATCCAATATTACATCCGGTTTACAGTGGCACACAGCAGCCCGAAGACGCAAATTGAGGCCAGGCACCATCTCCTCAAAGTCTGGATCTGCATCCTCATCCACAGTGCCTGCCAAAAGCCGTTCTGGAAAGGGACCACATATACTTGCACATATTGGCACATATACTTGCATCATCTTGCATCATCTTTCATCCCATTGCGAAATGAATCTAACAGCTGAATTCCACATTTCGCATCATTTCGCAAGGAATCAGTCAATCAGTTGGAATCAGAACCAGCATGGTCCCAGCTTTCGCAATCCACCTGCGGGCAGTTGATCCCAGGAACCATACGGGGATGTTGGATTTGCCTCAGTATCAGCCACAGAAACTTGCTCCAAATCTTGGGATGGCATCAACTCAAATCGATTTCCAGACATGAGTTGCATGTTTTCAATCTCTCTCTCTCTCTCTCTCTCTTTCTCTTCATTTTCGATCACTGTGTGCGATTTTCACTTAATTTCATCCATTTTGAGCGTCAGCTGCTGCACTTATGATGCACTTATTCAGCTGATGCCCTTATGATGCACTTATGACGCACTTCTGATGCACTTCTGATGCACTTCTGATGCATTTCTGATGCACTTCTGATGCACTTCTGATGCGCTTCTGATGCACTTCTGATGCACTTCTGATGCATTTCTGATGCACTTCTGATGCACTTCTGATGCGCTTCTGATGCACTTCTGATGCACTTCTGATGCGCTTCTGATGCATTTCTGATGCACTTCTGATGCACTTCTGATGCGCTTCTGATGCATTTCTGATGCACTTCTGATGCACTTCTGATGCACTTCTGATGCACTTCTGGTGCGCTTCTGATGCGCTTCTGATGCGCTTCTGATGCGCTTCTGATGCGCTTCTGGTGCGCTTCTGATGCGCTTCTGATGCACTTCTGATACACTTCTGATGCATTTCTGATGCACTTCTGATGCACTTCTGATGCGCTTCTGATGCACTTCTGATGCGCTTCTGATGCACTTCTGATGCACTTCTGATGCACTTCTGATGCGCTTCTGGTGCACTTCTGATGCGCTTCTGATGCACTTCTGATGCACTCCTGATGCACTTCTGATGCGCTTCTGATGCGCTTCTGCTGCACTTCTGATGCACTTCTGATGCGCTTCTGATGCACTTCTGATGCACTTCTGATGCATTTCTGATGCACTTCTGGTGCACTTCTGATGCGCTTCTGATGCATTTCTGATGCACTTCTGATGCGCTTCTGATGCACTTCGAATGCACTTCTGATGCACTTCTGATGCACTTCTGATGCACTTCTGATGCACTTCTGATGCACTTCTGATGCGCTTCTGATGCGCTTCTGATGCACTTCTGATGCACTTCTGATGCACTTCTGATGCACTTCTGGTGCGCTTCTGATGCGCTTCTGATGCATTTCTGATGCGCTTCTGATGCGCTTCTGATGCACTTCATGCACTTCTGATGCACTTCTGGTGCGCTTCTGATGCGCTTCTGATGCACTTCTGATGCGCTTCTGATGCACTTCTGATGCACTTCTGATGCACTTCTGATGCACTTCTGAAGTACTTCTGATGCGCTTCTGGTGCACTTCTGATGCGCTTCTGATGTGCTTCTGATGCACTTCTGAAGTACTTCTGATGCACTTCTGATGCGCTTCTGATGCACTTCTGATGCACTTCTGAAGTACTTCTGATGCGCTTCTGGTGCACTTCTGATGCACTTCTGATGCACTTCTGATGCACTTCTGATGCACTTCTGAAGTACTTCTGATGCACTTCTGATGCACTTCTGATGCACTTCTGATGCACTTCTGAAGTACTTCTGATGCACTTCTGATGCGCTTCTGATGCGCTTCTGATGCACTTCTGAACTTCTGATGCGCTTCTGGTGCACTTCTGATGATGCACTTCTGATGCACTTCTGAAGCACTTCTGAAGTACTTCTGATGCACTTCTGGTGCGCTTCTGATGCGCTTCTGATGCACTTCTGATGCACTTCTGATGCACTTCTGATGCACTTCTGGTGCGCTTCTGATGCGCTTCTGATGCGCTTCTGATGCGCTTCTGATGCGCTTCTGGTGCGCTTCTGATGCGCTTCTGATGCATTTCTGATGCGCTTCTGATGCGCTTCTGATGCACTTCTGATGCACTTCTGATGCACTTCTGAAGAACTTCTGATGCGCTTCTGGTGCACTTCTGATGCACTTCTGATGCACTTCTGATGCGCTTCTGGTGCGCTTCTGATGCGCTTCTGATGCATTTCTGATGCGCTTCTGATGCGCTTCTGATGCACTTCTGATGCACTTCTGATGCACTTCTGATGCACTTCTGATGCACTTCTGAAGTACTTCTGATGCACTTCTGATGCACTTCTGATGCACTTCTGATGCACTTCTGATGCACTTCTGAAGTACTTCTGATGCGCTTCTGGTGCACTTCTGATGCACTTCTGATGCACTTCTGATGCACTTCTGATGCACTTCTGAAGTACTTCTGATGCGCTTCTGGTGCACTTCTGATGCACTTCTGAGAACTTCTGATGCACTTCTGATGCACTTCTGAAGTACTTCTGATGCACTTCTGATGCGCTTCTGATGCACTTCTGATGCACTTCTGAAGTACTTCTGATGCACTTCTGATGCGCTTCTGATGCGCTTCTGATGCACTTCTGATGTTCTGATGCTTCTGATGACTTCTGTGATGCACTTCTGATGCACTTCTGATGCACTTCTGCACTTCTGAAGTACTTCTGATTTCTGATGCACTTCTGATGCACTTCTGATGCACTTCTGAAGTACTTCTGATGCACTTCTGATGCGCTTCTGATGCGCTTCTGATGCACTTCTGAAGTACTTCTGATGCGCTTCTGGTGCACACTTCTGATGAGTTCTGACACTTCTGATGCACTTCTGAAGTGATGCACTTCTGATGCACTTCTGACTTCTGCACTTCTGAAGTACTTCTGATGCACTTCTGATGCACTTCTGCACTTCTGCTTCTGATGCACTTCTGAATGCGCTTCTGATGCACTTCTGAAGTACTTCTGATGCGCTTCTGGTGCACTTCTGATGCACTTCTGATGCACTTCTGATGCACTTCTGATGCACTTCTGAACTACTTCTGATGCACTTCTGATGCACTTCTGATGCACTTCTGAAGCACTTCTGATGCACTTCTGATGCACTTCTGATGCACTTCTGATGCACTTCTGATGCACTTCTGATGCACTTCTGAAGTACTTCTGATGCGCTTCTGGTGCACTTCTGATGCGCTTCTGATGCGCTTCTGAAGTACTTCTGATGCACTTCTGATGCACTTCTGATGCACTTCTGAAGTACTTCTGATGCACTTCTGATGCACTTCTGATGCACTTCTGATGCAGTTCTGAAGTACTTCTGATGCAGTTCTGATGCACTTATTCTTCAGCATATTTCAGCTCCACCATAGCTCCACCAAGCCGCACTGAAGGCCCTAGACCCAGGTGATCCTGCAGGCCCACAGGGCCCACAGGGCCCAGATGGCCCTGGACCACCCGCCGGGGCAGTGGCAGGAGGACGGAGCACAGGGTGTGTTGGCACCTGCGAATGCCGCATGTCAGCGAAGCATTGAACTCGCAAAACAGTGTAAAAATATTTGTAAAAACTGTGTAAAACAACATTGGAAGTGGAACATAGTGACTGGAACTGTTGAACATGAAGGGTTTTTGAAATTTTGATGATATTTCCTTCTCGTTTCATATTATGTATGGAGATGTATAGAGCCCATATTTAGCTATGGACTTACTGCACAGCTCTGTGGAGATCGCAGCTTGTCAGACTTGTGACAGGGCACCTGGCTGGCGTAGCCGTTGCCCAAATGGCTGTACGTGGCCATTTGCCCGGCACTGCGCTTTACCCTGCTACAAACTTCTGCATTCTGAAACAGCTGCAAACACCACTCCATTTCACTCCATACTCTGCGCAGTAGCCAGTGCTTTACAAGTAAGTCAGATGAGTAAAGTCCACAGAAACAAAAAGGAACATGGACAATGGACACTTGCAAGGATTTAGAACTGCACAGAATGATGCGTGCACAGCAAGTTCCTCCATTTGTCTCGGACTGAAACCATTGAAACAACTGGCAGGTGCCCAGACCGAACCAATTGAATCCAACTGACGCATTTTGAGGTCGGTTGATGTCGGTTGCCAACCATAGCCTGCAACGGAACCGTACGGAACCAATCTCCTGCGTCTGGTCCAAGCGCCATTTGCCAGGTCCTGCAGTTGCAGTGTCAGCTCAGCCATGCTGACGGCTGGTTAGATGGCAGAAAGACAACAAGTCCCGCATCAACATTATTACAATTTATTACATATTGTATCATATTAGTTACCAAACCTTGGTGAAATCTACCTAGTCAGGACCTAGTCTACCTCTACCAAGTCTACCTGACATCCATCCGGAAAAGAGTTGGTTACAGCCTCGTGAAGTTGCGCAGGCCCCACTATTTTGAAACTCGATGACGTCATCACTGGCACAGGCTTTGAGAAAGTGGGTCAAACATGTTCAAACATCTCAAAGAGGGTGGTACTTCTGCAATTGGTCTCCTTATGATCTCTGTCTGTGCTCACATAACTTGACTTCATTTGCCACCGAGCTGACCCATGTTGAGTACAACACGAACCTTTCGTATGCGTTTCGTATGTTCGGGTAGTCATGACTGGGATCACTACGCACCAAGTGTGTCCAATCGGCACTTGTTTTCCCAACTGGAAACACACAAGATGAAGGACTGTGAAATGAGCATGGGGGACAGCACATGCATAAAAGCTCACACACGTCGTCAAACAACTGTTGGCCATGGCCTATTGGGCCTATTGTGTGCTCAGTGTGGTTTTCTGACAGTGCTTTGGACATGGGAAAATAATATGAAACAGACTAAATCGGCCAAATGATGCTAGCTGCTAGCTGCTAGCTCTATCTAGCTCTGACTCTTTGAAAGCAAGGCTCCTGATGCCAAGCCAGAAATTAAACTGCCCAGGCCTTTCCCATAAATTGGACTCAAACCAGGTGTACCTTGGACCAAGCAAACTGCAAGCAAACAAATGGGATACACATGGGGACAGGAGCCTGGGTGTCACACCACTTGCCAAAGATGCGATTCATTGGCACTTGGCTTTGGTTGCCCCTTGGCATTGCGGGCAGAATTCGTCATGGAAGTCCTGATTTTCCGCAAGGGAGGCCGGGAGGCGCCATCTGAGGTCTCCAACGTTACTTCACAAATAACACCTTCCCAACCTCACCACAGCCACCCAAACCCACACAACATCACACAACATCATGCAACTGATGCAGCAAACCATGGCTGGTGCGAAGTCTTAGCAAAGGGGATCTTAGTGGCAGGCTATCAATGACCTCAGAATGGGCAAGATCCAGCGAATGGCATTAAAATGGGATCCAGAAGTGTTCACTGTTCAAACATGTTCGACATTGCTGCAACATTTTCCGTTCCAACATTAATTACATTGAATTACCATGTTCCACCAGATTCCACCAGATTCCACCCCCAAGCATTGCTTTCTCGGTCAATCTCCGTTCAATTTTGTCTTCCCGATCTTCCAAATCTTAGCTTCCCAGCTCGGTCACCATACTTCCACCCTGGCCTTCGGCCAACCTGACGAGATCAAACGAACCCAATCGAATACACTTGAATTTTCCCTTGAGTTTCCGAGGTTTCAAAAGTGTTTTCTAAAAAAACAGTTTCCTTGACATTCCTTGACTACTGAATGTCTGAATGTGTCACAGGCCATGGGCGTCTTTGTGTAGCTCGGAGCGGTGTCATCTGAAAGGTTCGCATTAATCGACTATTTTTCCTAAGGCCTCCGGTAAAGCGTTCTGCCCATAGGAGAGTCACAGCAGCGAATTGAACTACATCCAACATCATCCAACCATGTTGAACCACAGGTGGGACCAATGGAAAAGATGTGCTTTAGACAGGGCAATGATCTGAAAGTTCGGCAATCTGTGGAGAATTCTGTGCACTAGAAGGGTTGGCAACCCTCAATTGTCTTACGAATCTAAGTTCGCGTCAAGCATCATGATTGCAAATCCACTCCCCATCTCAGAACATCAACCATCCCCCGTAGTCCTTTTTTCTTCCGCGAATGATCTCTGCATCTACGACGTTACTTGTCCTTGGGTAGTCCAGGGAAGTTGGGTAACTCTGGTGGCGGCGGCGGGCCCGGTGGACCACCGGAAGCACCTTGCGAAGCGCCTTGCGAAGCGCCCTGCGACGCCTGCGATGTAGGCTGCGATGCAGGCTGCGGTGAAGGACTTCGACTTCCGGGTGGGGGTGGACTTCTGGGTGGGGGTGCCTTGGGAGGCACGGCCGACCCTGGCGGAGGCGACGGGGTGGAAGGCCACGCAGACTCGGGCCGCTTGGGCGGGTCGGGTTTCACGGAGAACTCTTCTTCCTCTGGGCCTTCTGGGCCCTGGTTGTAATACTTTTCATCCTCAGGATCCAACCACTCACTGGGGTCCTCTTTCAATTTGGAACGCATATACTCTTCTCGGTCCTTAGCGGACCTCAACTGCCTCCACTCGAAGTATGGAACGTGCAGTACCTTGTAGCCCATCCTGGTGAGTAGGCGATGCTTTAGCTTCGTATATGCAGTGTATTGTTTGGAATTGGCATAGAAGTGCGAAGGGCCATCCACTTCGATGGCAATAGGCCGGTCCTCACCAGTTGGAACGTTGCCATCCTCATCCGCCAAAGGGCCACTCAGTTTGCGCGTGAGCTCCTTAATGATGCTGTCTTTCTCCTTCTTTTCTTCCTTGTCTCGGAACATCTCGGAACATCCGAGGTAGCATGGAATAGCATGGAATAGGCCCAAAGAATCCAAAAGATACATACTGCGACACATACTGCTAGTCTACTTGCGATGTAGGTCAAAACATACTGCTAGTCTGCTTACCACAAGTGTAAATTATAAGACTTTTATGAGATATCACAGGATTATGTTGCAACAGCTGGTGAATGGCACAGTGACCACAGAAACTCTTTGCGGTTGAACGCTCCCTGCCTCCGTCAGAATCTCCTCGTTTCCATCCAGCAGCTGCTGACGATAGACGGCCTGTTCTGCGAAGCTACGCTTCCATGGGGCCAAGGTCCCCAAGGTCGCCAAGGGCTTGAAGGGCCCAAGGTGTACAGCATTCCAAGGGCTTACAGGGCGGCAGCGGGCCATACGCAACGCTGAGCCATGGAGCCGCTTCAGCATTTTGTAATTCGAGACACCATTGAAAGAATTGGAACATAAAGCAGTCGTCCATGACATGGAAGACATAAGATTTCTTTTCATTTAAAGAACTTCAGGGTATCAATACCGCGTTCATGTGTCCTCTGTTATTGGGACTGGCTAAAACATGCTAAAACCCTTTGATCACAACTTTGGAGTCTGAACGCATCACGGCACACGGACAAATTGAATCAAATTGACAACTCTGTCAAACTTCAACCCATTGAAACAAATCGACTTACCCATATCTACTCAGTCTGGGTAGGCTATGGACATTGAGGTCTTCAGGCACCTGACCAGGACTATGAGAGTTATTGGATGTTGTTGTCACACGTTGTCACATGTTGCCTGGGAGTCTTGCTGGTATCTGCAATTCTTCTCTGTACCTTTCACTTGGCATCCGTGCACCACCAACGACACGTAGCTGACCCCGCTGCACAAACTCTCTCACTGCCTTGGCAAGAACTTTCCCACTTCACCATGCGGTTTCTCACCAATTGACGGCACCAAATTACAGCTTGTCCATGCTCACCATATCTCACCATTTTCTAGCTGAGTTATGACATTATGTTGAACTCTCAAGTCATGATCCAATCGGGGCGAACATCGAATACAGCTTCACAAATTGCGAATCACATGCCACAACTTTGGTTAAAAAAAACTCAAGACGAAACAGTTGCCGAGTGATTCCGAGGGATGCTTTGGATGCAAGGATTGTTAGACAGCATATGATTGCTTCCTTGGCACCAGGGTGCTCTCATGACCCCCTCATCAGTGCCAAAGTCGTCAAAAATCACATACTTCAGTGAACTCCTCCACTGGAGCAGACTTGTTATACCATTCATACTAAGTTGTAAACGACAAGGATGATGGCTGATACTGCTGCATTTGGAAACTCAAATTTGAGAAAAGAAGAACACAAAACTTCAAAACGAGCTCCGGGATGAGTAGCACAAGGCTTCATGCATTGTCCACTCCCAAACAAAGATTTGATTCTTTTCAATTGTTGTGCATCAGCCTGTCCCTCTGGCATCCTGAAATAACGCAGTAGCTGATTGGTGTCACGATGAACCTCAGCAATGACAGCTACCAAAGCTCCAGTCCAATCACGGCCGTGAGTCATGACAGAGTCATGACACATCTGACCCAGCACAAAGGCTTGGATTTGGATAGAGGTGGATTTGGCACTGCAACTTACAAATTTTTGCATATGTTTCATGTACCTGTGAATCCATTTTTGGTCCATCAGTGAGGGTATCAAAGTCACTGGGCTGCAGTGGCGCACGGAAGCATATTCGTGTTCCGCATCCACCATTGCTACTTCCACCTGCGCAGCGAGTCCACTTGAACTCTGTCATTCAGGACACAGATGCTGTCAACAACTTCGCCCTGCGCCTCATTTTGACCTCAAGTGTGACATGGAGCTTTTGTCGCGATGGAAATGCAATGAAGTAGGCATGCCAAAACAGTCAAACGCTCTGATTCCAAAAGGTCACGAAAAAAAGCAAATGATGGTCAGAAATGGCCGTGTGCAACGCTGATGTGTGGAACCATGTGAAAACCCATTCCGAATCTGTCAAATCTATTCAAATCTATTCAAATCTGTCGAATCAATTGGCGAATGCATTGCTGGAGTCCAGTAACAAATGGCCAAGGCGCGCAGGCTCCTCAGGCTGTCCACTCGGCTGTGGAGATGGACGAAGAGGATGTTTTGACCTTGTGGCCAACTGCCACAGCCACAGCACAAAGGGCGTGAAACAAAATGAAACAAACAAATGCATTAAGCAAACTGGGCAACACCACAGCAGCATATAGCAAAACAGGATCGAACAAATGACTTGGACTGCGGCGATCTTTGTTGTACCGTCGGTTGAAACTCAGGAATGCCTCTGGCTCCCACTCGCTTATAACATTTGTCTGGGGAACACCGTTCAGAAAGAGAAACCAAATGGAAACCAAACAATACTAGAATCCGCAAGAGATGTTCCCGCCCCCACCTATGACCGAAACCCTCAGTGCTGTCCTCCGAAGCATCTACCGCAATGACCCGGGAGAACAAATCGGAGAAGACCTCGCTCACATGTGTCGCATGTGTCGTCATATCATGTCATCTCCAAACTGTAAGAAATTCTAAGAATCTTTGGGCTCTGTGCTCGGCTGGTGTAACCGCGATAGCTTCCCAACCTCAGGTTTGTCACATTTTGTCACGTGCTCAGAAAATACCAATACAAGATATCCATAGATATCCTAAGTTCAAATCACGTTGACAGGAGCGAAGCAATATGAAAAAGCAAAGGAACCCAAACTTCTGCCATCCCGGGTGATTGACCACATGGCACAGGCTAAGCCCTAAGAAAAAACGGGTAAATCACTGAAAATAGAGGCTTCTAGACACGTAGATGTTTGATGATGGTTTCATATTGGTGCTTCTTTCTGTTGAAGGTATGGGTCCTCGTTTCAGAATGCCAGAAAACCGAAGGATTGCACGGATGCTGCAATCATCTTCAATCATTCATGGACTGTTGACAAGGTCGCGAGTCACGCAGGCTCCGAGCAGGAACCGTCCTTACCCAACCGACTGAAAGTAACTGACACATACTGATACCATCTGACAACACTTGAAGACCTCAGCTATCCAGATCTATGCAGATCTATCCGGCCAGCTGATCTTCTGACCTTAGCCCATGGCTCCAGAATTGTCCAAGTCGATGCTTTTGGAGCGAAAAAGTTTCGCAGGTCCTGGCCGTCGCCCACTGAAGGCACCGTGGCATCGTCAAGAGAGTGACGGCTGCGATTGACGAGTTAATCAGGTGTCGTCACCGGGCATATGTTGCGGCACTGGCTACAGACTTCTCCTGTCAAATGCTATCATGCACAATCCGAAAGGCGCCTTGGGTGTTATGCCGGCATGGTGATGGTGTGGATGGCATTGTCATGTTTGGACATATGAAATAATATGAAATAATTAATATGAGCAATATGAACATGAGTAAAGTGAACCAGGCGATTCCACCACCTGCAGCCTGCAGCCCCTTTTATCCACAACGGCGTATGGCGTTCAGGATGGTTTCTTCGCCAACTTCTCCAATGGTGGCACCATTGCGCCTGGGCCGTTGCTGCGTTGCTATGAGGTCAGTTGACATCAGAGCTGGAAAGTCAAATAAGAATCAAATAACAATATATATATAATATTATATAATCTATACAATAGAACAAATGAGCTGTGTCCAAAAGGTCCTGTTCTTCTGAAGGCGATAAGGATATGCTTACGCGTCCGCTTGCGCCTTGCTTACGCCACCACAGTTTTGGCTTACGCGAGGGATTTTGTTGAATTTGCACTTACGCGGAGCTTACGCTTACAGGTTTTTGCACCCCACCACAGCGCCAGCTTACGCGAAGCAATTTTTACAAGCAGAACGCCATGGTCTTGGAATCTCCGTCAGGCATCAGATGCGGTAGAAGTAGACGAAGATGAGGAAGTCCAGAAGGAGGGTCGCATCAGCCATAGAAGGACAATGTCGTTGCAAAAGGTCAGACATTGTTTGCACAATTTCCCGTTGGCGGCGCGGCATTACTTCAGAGAAGCCTCTTTCTTTGGGAGGCATTGTGGACTCAGAAAAGGAATGTGGGCTTACGCGGACCTTACGCGCGGCTTACGCGGAGCTTACGCGGATTTCCGGGGTCAACCTCTGTCCAATTTTAACTTATAATAAGAATCGTAATTATGTGGTGGGCACTCCGGCTCTTTGGCCATGATTGATCAAGAAAATGGCTCGAGACGCCACGATTCCACCAACCCAAAAGGCAGCCCGATCACTCATGCGAATTACTTGGCGAACCTTTCGTGTGATATGTAGTGACCCAAACTTACGTACTGGATAGAGAGGGGATGCCATGCAGAATTAAGTTCTATCATGGGTTGCAAACCAATGTTTCGAAAAAGGTAGTCCAACATGTATGCATGGATTTCACATAGCTACAAATTGAAAAAAGTCCTGTTGAAACTCTGCAAGTATGACCTTACGCCAGGAGCTTACGCACTGAAATGCTTCAAAAAAGCTTACGCGGGCTTACGCCCACCACATTTTGGCTTACGCCTGAGGCCCTTACTGCCACCCTCTTACTAAAGATGAATAGGGGGGTTTTGGACGTGGCTCAAATTGATATAAAATTGAATAAGGATTGAAATCTGAGTTGTCAAACCCTTTGCCTACCACCTGATGCCGGCACCTGTGGATATTGGCATCGTTGGCCTCTTCCAAGTCGCAGTTTCTAAGCCTTGTCAAGGCCAGAGAGCAAGATCAGTGGGATCTCAAGGTTTGGATCAAGAAAGCAAATCATGAGGGCATGGACATGGACAAAAATGCATGGAATTGCCCGTTGACGGGGACACCAACATGTATTTTTTTTCAACACTTTTAATTGGATCTAATTAGACTACTTGTATCTATGCTTGTATCTATACTTGTATCATCTTGTATCTATACTTGTTATGTCTCAGTTTTTCTGAAAAGAACTAAGTACTAAGTGTCACGTGATTCGACTGCACCCAGGCAACAAGTGCAATGCCACCCGTGGAGCTTTGGATACCAATTCTTCGGTTTCATCCACAGGCTGTGGCAATTCAATGTACGTCTCCTGACATCGGCAGAGATAGGGGTGCGATAGTTTAGATAAACATGTTGATAATTGATAATGTATCTGTAATTATATGTATATATATATATATTCTATACTATAATGGGGAAATCATTCCGGCCATTTGCTCCTGAACAAACTCCAAAGGGATCCCAAGGGCATTTCCAGAACGTCTGTTGAAAACTGCAGTGATAAGGGCCCATTCATTTCCCAAGCTGCACGTTGGAGAAGAATCCGCCCTCCTGCCCGTCGGAGAGCTGAACCATGGCTACTGGATTCCCGGACTCGCTGAAGCCTGTGCCATGGAGTCAACCAAATGTTGAAACCCATCTCATCCCATCTCGGTCCCAGGGTTACCATGATTCTGTGGACTTTTCAGATATCTGTTCTAGATATTTCTAGATCGCTTTTATGACATTTTATCACTACCTACAAAAAAATCTGACGAAATCTGACGAAATAGAGATTTCTTCCACCCGTCAGATATCTGTTCTAGATATGGTGGCCTGCCGCACTGTGACATTTTATGGCTTGCCTGGTCGCCAACTGACGATGACATCGACGAAATAGAGATTTCTTCCACCCGTGCGCTCTCCCTGGTGGCCTGCCGCACTGTCACGTACGATGGCTTGCTGGTCGCCAACCTCGATGACATCGCCAGTCTCGATGGTTCGGCCTTGTCGTGCCGACTGAAGGACACGTACGAGCGGACAGGTACAAAGATGTACAAAGTACTACAAAGTTGTAGGAAGACATCCAAAAAGGACACTGCAAAACTGGAATCAGATTACGTAGACGTAGATAATATTTGGCATTTCGCTCGTTGCTTCATTTCATCAAAAAACACTTCTGGAGGAGACGATTCTATTGAATTCCTGCAAGCGCTGCGCCACGGCACATGTTCCAAAGCAGGTGAGAATAATAAATCTAAATAATTGCATCTCAATCTTCTCTCAATAATTCGCCATAGTCACATTGATGTCTTCCTGACACAAGATGGAAACCAAAGCTATCTGCTAAGTGTCAGTCCTTTTCCATAATGCGGATGAAACGAGACCATGTAAATGTCCTGCCAGGAATTTGCTGTGAGACCACCACTTCAAACACTACAAAATCTGAACTTGGCCAGCTGCCAACAATGCCCTTTGGCCTTGGCCAGTGTTTGAACTCTCAGCATCATCTGGCTCTTTGATACTAAACCCGAATCAACTGTTCTTAAAGGATAGTGCTCAACATGTGATGGATGCACCCCGCCATTCTGGCCTTTTCTGCAAAAAAGTAGCCGTTCATCAGCTGCCCTTGATAGAACTCCTGGAAAGTCTCAAAGGATTGCCATGCCTTCACGTGTGGGCAAACCACCAGCGTCGTAGCAGGCTCTCCTTCAGCAAGATCTTTCCTTCGGCAAAGAAACACCAACAAATAAATTGGAGGGAGTGCATCCACTGGCTTAAATTGGAATTAAATTGGAACATATTAGAACATAATGTTCCAAAAGAACAGGGTGATCGCGGGGCATGCAGCATACCGCATACCCCAAGTATTTGTATCTATTTGTTCGATTTTGGAGTTCAGTTAGTTTAAAGTTTGAAGGGCCTTCTTTGAGCCCTCTGTTGTACATGATTCAATCTTTGGTACTGCCTTGCAACCAACACCCAATCAACGCAGGCTGTCAATAATTCCGACATCTTCCAACCAAAGCTTCAAAGAGCCACTTGGCAAACGCGCAGCTTCAGCGCCTAAATCTGGTAGAATCTCTTCAGGAGCCTGCGGAAACCGCAAAAAAAACGTGTGGAAGTCTGTGCCCCAGTGGAAATCGATGCTATGCCAAGCTCGCGGACTCTCTGTGCCCCACCGGACCTGTGCCCATACCTATCCGTGGGCAGATTATGGCACACCGGGGCCGGCTTGTCACAAGCTGCCCCGGTGGGCCGCAAGCTGTCCAGAGGGTTGGTATAGGCACCTGTCCGAATGTATGTCCACCATTGGCAGAATATATCTTAGAAAATGAGCCAGAATAGACTTTAAACAGATTTCAGGATCACTGTTGAAATGTATGTCAAAATACATGTAACTCTACATGTCAAACTACATGAGGGACTGTATGTCAATGTAAATGCCTGAATATTTGTCAAATATTTGCCATCACAAATGTCGGAATATAAATATCGATCTATGCCAGGACAAATGTCAGGACAAATGTCAGGACATATGTATGTCACCATTCTGTCAGACAGTTGGAGTACGCTCGGTATCACACGAAGTAAAATGAATTGTAGCAAGCTGCGCCGAGGGAACGGGAAGGCTTACGATTCATGGGCAGTGAGGTGAGTGAACAAATGTGAAAAAGGCCAAAAACAAAGCAAGTGAATCAAGTGAGCCAAAAGAAAACCTAGTGAATCAAAATCAAAAGGAAGCAAAACGCGCGCCTAGTCACTACCTAGTCGTAGTATGTCGTAGTGTTTGGCCGAGGAGCTTGAAATTTTGGAGTCTCAGCTCCCGGATGGATCCCCTCTGGACCTTGACCCTATACCAAGCTCCAGAATTCGGTGCCCTACACATCCCTCTACCATCCTATACCAAGTTCCCGAATGCAGCCATGGGAGTCAGAAAGGAATATATGGTTTGAAAATGTTTGAAATGATTCTCCCTCTACAATACTCCGCTTTGTCCCTGGCAATTATCCGTTCCAAAAAAAGGGCCGCAGCTCTTTTCAAACGTCAGTGGTGCCCGGTGAAGGTTGCAAAGATTGCGATGGTCTCGTTCGAGAACGCAATCTTCTCCGAACATGTCGGCAAAATCCATCATTTCAACCAGGCTTGAAAAGTAAAGCATTGAAACCACACCCTGCCAGCTGACCACAGGTGCTCACCAACATCACCAACAGTGTCAATTTTTGCTCTCAATTTGCCTCACTTGTGAGACGACACCTCGTTGGCTTGGCCAAGACTTTTGGGCCGCCTCAGTCGACTCAGTCAGCACTTTCCGCTTTTTCTTTCGCCTCCTTCGCCATCGCCACGAAGAATTCCTTGCCCTTCTCGCCGAGTCTCTTCTCCGTGCTTTCCCATTCTTCATCACCTTGGCATATGGCATCACGCTCAAGCACAGCGTTGTCACAACACATTGTCGCAACATCATCAACAGTGACAAAAGCGGTTCAAAAGCGCCCAGAGCCCTGGAAGGGAAGTGCCAGCCAAAAAATAGGGGAGCAATCATCGATTTTTCGCAAACATCTGCCAAGTCCATCCCAAATTTCAGATCCGTTTCAAGTGGCTGAACTGGGATCTGTCCATCAGCAACTTCTTTCCGGTCATCGCGCGATAGCAAATGTTGTCTTCCTGCAGGAACTCCACCACCAGATCCTCGGTTCTTTTTGGGGTAGGAAGGATCACAGCCAGTTGCCCCATTTTCTCAATAACCTGCATAGACTGCACATAGCGAAATGCAGCCCACACTTTGTACTCTTGGGATGGGCTTCAACCTGCTGGAGAATCATAAGCAATGCGAAGTTCGGAACACTACCCTAATGTCATGAAAGGTCAGAGCCCTTCTGTTTGCAATCCAAGATAAAACGATAGGGTGGAGACTGGCTATCCGGATTTGGTTTGCAACGGATACGTAGATGTTTTTCTGCGAAAGATTCCGCGGGATGTGGATTTTTGCTGATGACGAGGATCATGGTCCCACATGTAGACGCAGTGTTTTGCTGCAGATTCTGGCATCCCGACGAATGGCCTGCCATGGAACTGCGGTGAGACACATCTCTTTCAGCCATAGACGACAGTGATTGAATTGAAAGGCAGCAAACCAAACTAATAACAACATATAACTGCAGAGTTGATGCCTGAACGCGGTGACTTGCTGTTTCATGAACCTCAGTGCAACACTCAGAGCAAGAGGGTCGTCAGTTGGTGACATGAAAGGTGCAACAACCAGCAATTTTCATCGAACAAGGCCACAGCAGTAAACGTGCCATACCTGTCTCACTACTGAAGGGTTTCTGGAAAGAACTCTTCGCGCTGAAGGACTTGAGCGCCGTCTTCTCGAGGAATTCGTCCACCTTGGCCTCGACAGTCAACATTCGCTTGCGGCACTGAAAGTCCCATGATAAATGTGTGAAATATTGGGAAATATTGTGAAATTGTCCAAAGTGGAGAAAGAACTCCTCTTGTTGGACCTCGTCAGATTTTTGTCCAGCCTTATCCTCCTCCTTCTCAAACTTCGCCTCTCCCTTCAGGAGCTGGCTACCTTTGCAGTCGCAAGTGACGCCCACCGTGGCCAATTTGGATTTCACGACGTAGCCCTCCCACAACCAAGCGGCCTGACAGAGCAAATGACACATGGGAACATCAGGCAACAAGTCTGCAAACTCTAAATGGAAGGCTGAACAAGGGCCAAAAACTGACCATAAACTGTACTATAGTCATGTGATGATCACGTTGGATTGTGATGCATTCATGGTGGGTTGCAGACCATATCGGAAGGCAATGGAATGCACATCACATCAAACATCATCAAGCATCATCTAACTGGGAACCCCTGAGCTGGGAAGCCTCGAGCATCTCACTCCCATCGCCACCAAGTTTTTCATTAATGGCCTGCACTGCTTTCCACAGGGCCATGGTTGACAGGTTGACAGGTCGACAGTTGCCACACCACAGTTCATTCAACGGCTGCAAGCTGAATCCAGCCTTCTGAAGGATCGAACAGGTCTCCATGTCCAAAGCACCAATGACATTCTTCAATTCGTCAGACTGTTGCATTCTGAACACCTAGGTTGTTGCATACTTGATCTGGAATGGTTTATCCTAGTGAGTTTGTCTCAAAATGGAGGCTACCCCAAAAATTGCATTTTTGTCTAGAGTTAGAATAATGATAAAACCATATAAAACCATGTTTTTCATGGGTTCCGAATTCTCAGCCAAGCCCAAATGGCTCTTCAGCCATGGCACCGATGCTGCCACGGCAGTCGCGGCAGAAGCTCCATTGCCCATGGCAGGCAGCAACGAAGCTTGAAGCAACGGTGGTGAGGCAACGCGCCGAGTGCTTGGGAGCAGCTGTGAGGCTGATGGAGTTGGCAACAGTTCGGAATCCGATATCAATATCATCCAATATCCAATACATCAATATGCATCAATTTGCATCAATATTCATCAATATGCATCAATTTGCATCAATATTCATCAATATTCATCAATATGCATCAATTTGCATCAATATGCATCAATATGCATCAATATGCATCAATTTGCATCAATATTCATCAATATTCATCAATATGCATCAATTTGCATCAATATTCATCAATATTCATCAATATGCATCAATTTGCATCAATATGCATCAATATGCATCAATATGCATCAATTTGCATCAATATTCATCAATATTCATCAATATGCATCAATTTGCATCAATATTCATCAATATTCATCAATATGCATCAATTTGCATCAATATGCACCAATATGCATCAATATGCATCAATATTCATCAATATTCATCAATATTCATCAATATTCCTCATTATTCATCAATATTCATCAATATTCATCAATATTCATCAATATTCATCAATATTCATCAATATTCATCAATATGCATCAATATGCATCAATATGCATCAATTTGCATCAATATGCATCAATTTGCATCAATATTCATCAATATTCATCAATATGCATCAATTTGCATCAATATTCATCAATATTCATCAATATGCATCAATTTGCATCAATATGCATCAATATGCATCAATATGCATCAATATGCATCAATATGCATCAATATTCATCAATATTCATCAATATTCATCAATATCCATCAATATTCATCATTATTCATCAATATTCATCAATATTCATCAATATTCATCAATATGCATCAATATGCATCAATATGCATCAATTTGCATCAATATGCATCAATATGCATCAATATGCATCAATATGCATCAATATGCATCAATATGCATCAATATGCATCAATATGCATCAATATGCATCAATATTCATCAATATGCATCAATATGCATCAATATGCATCAATATGCATCAATATGCATCAATATGCATCAATATGCATCAATATGCATCAATATGCATCAATATGCATCAATATTCATCAATATTCATCAATATGCATCAATATGCATCAATATGCATCAATATGCATCAATTTGCATCAATATGCATCAATATGCATCAATATGCATCAATTTGCATCAATTTGCATCAATATGCATCAATATGCATCAATATGCATCAATATGCATCAATTTGCATCAATTTGCATCAATATGCATCAATATGCATCAATTTGCATCAATATGCATCAATATGCATCAATATTCATCAATATTCATCAATATTCATCAATATTCATCAATGTCAATATCCACCAATAACCCAAAACTTATGCACTAACATATTTGGAAATTGCCTTGGCTGAATTTTGGGGTGAGGGTAGGAACTCAACGAGGGGCACCAGATGGGGATGTTTGAACATGTTTGAAATAAACATGTGCTGCTTGTGCAGAAAGGAACTTCCAATGAGACTGAACCTGCGCACTCTGAAGAGACGGCGCTCTCACAAAGCTAACACATGCCTCCGCACTGCTGGTGACAACCCGTATGTGTCCGTTGCTTGCAGTAGGCTGCGCATACGGGCAGAAGTTATAACCTCATTCCAACAGTTGCGCAGTGATATGTTGAAAATTACAATGAACGCAAAACCTACGGATCAATCATTATCTCGTTCATTGCCACTCACGAGAATCAAGATTAAATTGGTTGCACGTCTTCGGGTCCACTCTCTGGTGATCCAGGGAAAGTAGCACCACTCCACTGAAAGGAACCGTGGCAACGCTCCGCGTTCCGATTGAACTAAGAAAAACAATACTTCCATGATTCCATGGTCAGAGATTACTTTGCCAATCCATTGGATACACTTCCATGCATACGTATGCATATCTCTCATCCATCAAGCATCGTATGTCCAGGTGCTGCCATGCCCATCTTAGCCCCAACCGCAGGTTTCCGCCAAGGCAACCAATGATGACTTCCCGCACCCATCTCTGAATGGCTTGAGTATGGACGTTTGAAGCATCCTCCAGAATGGCTTGGAGCTGTACTCGCCGTCTGGCAACTGCAGCAAGTCCTGGTGATTCCCCGGCGCCAAGGGGTGCGCAGCTGTCGGAAACATGTTGCAGGAATAAGTGCTATGCGCTTATGCAACTGGAATCCTTGGAAGCACTGAGTATTTCGTAGGATTTCAATGTATTTAATGTATTTCAATGTATTTCATCTCTACCCCTAACTTTCTTCAAATATCTTCAAATGAAAAGGGTCCTGCTGTCGTGGAAACCCACAGGGCTGTGCTCTTCGTCTGCACCCGGAGGGGACTGCGAGAAGCGGCAGGAGCCCGCAGGGGCCGCAGGGGCAGCACTGGAGCACCGAATGGCAGTGGTGCCAGCTGCATTGACTTCTCTAAGGTGAGTTGGTTCATATATTTTTCTAGGGACATAGTTTTTGTGGGGAAAAAGGGCAAGGTAGGTCCAAACAGTGGGAAAACCATGGAAAGCCTTCCTTTAATTTTGGTTCATCACGGATTGGAGCCAAATTTGGTCGGAGCATGGTCGGAGCATGTTGGAGCCATTTTGGAGCCATTCACCAGTAGATGATTCGACTGAGATGCCGCCAGGTCTTGTCACTGTCACTGCAATATTTGTGTCTGAGTTTGTCAGATGTCTGGTGGCCAAAACCTGAATCAAACAACAGCTGGAGATGGTCGAATTGTGTTGACATGTGTTGACTTGAGCAGGTGATCTTTGCGCAAGGGCAAGTACGAAGGTATTCAACAGTTCCTTGGAGGATCATCTCAATCATCATGGAGATATTAGCAATAGCAGATAATAGCAGCAATAGCAATAGCAGCAATCATTGGCATCATATATGCTGTCATCAGCAAGTCCTGCTTCATCTTCCCAGAAGTTGTCCAATAGTCTTGATCTTTACCTCAGGCTGATGCAAGACTGAGAGATCCCAGAACGATGTCCTCAAGGGCGCCCGCGTGTCAAAACTCAAAAACCAGGAAAAAACCCGAAGATGTAAGGCGTGATGATTGAGCCCAGGTATGTTTCATATTTTTCAGCGTCTTTGGGGATGTAAAGCCTCAAAAAAAAACTTAGACAGCTCAGGGCTGACGCTCTACAATGCCATGTCCTTCCTTTTGGGGTTTTCACTAGTTTTCGTGCTTTTTTTCTCATTTTTTGCAATTTTCCTGGTTATTTTCCATGGATGTTCATCTTGAGCCCATCTGGTAATCCTTCGTAGCGTAGCTGGGTTCTCCAAGCCGACATCGCCGCCATCCGTATGGTCTTCCATCCCCATCTCCAAGCTTGGCAAAACCTTCAGGGCCTCGCCTTGGACTCAGCTTGGCCAAATATAGACATATTAGTGACATATTATTAATATTGTATAATAATTATATATTAAATTCTGGCTAACAATGTCACTAACTTTTCACCAAATAAACACTATTTGCCTCCATCTATCCATCTGTCTATCTATGTATGTCTATCTACCTATCCATCTATCCATCCATCTATCTATGTATATTCTTCTATTCTTCCATTTATTTATCCGTTCATCTCTCCATCCATCGATTGAATCCATCGAATCTATCTATCTATCTATCTATTCTATCTACCTACCTACCTACCTATCTACTGCACCTACCTACCTATCTACTACACCTACCTACCTAGCTATCTGACAGCTATCTGACAGCTATCTGACAGCTATCTGATAGCTATCTATCTATCTATCTATCCATCTATCCAATCTATCCAATCTATCTTATCTATCTTATCTATCTTATCTATCCTATCTATCTTATCTATCATATCTATCTTATCCATCTATCTACCTATCTACCTACCCTATCTATCTATCTGTCTGTCTGTCTGTCTATCTATCTCTCTCTCTCTATCCCTATATCTATACCTATCAGTATTTTGTTTTTAAATTGTTTTTGATGAATGACAGCTTTACCGACATACTATCATTTTTTTGCAACAAGCGTCGCCTCAAAACTCACTTCACAGCCAAACATTGACCCAACAGCTGAGATGCCCAGCACAGCACGCTGTAGACCTGCGACTTGCAGTCACACAAACTCGGCATGCATTCACATGTGGCACTGTATGTGAATTTGCGTGCGGCCAACATCTACACCACACCTCTTTTTTGTATCTTGATAGTATCAAAAAGTATCCAACAACTGACACTCGTATGTGCTCTTCTTATTGCTGGTTTGCCTCTCAAACTGGCAAAGGAGTGATGAAGGCAAACAGAATGGCTGAATGTGGGAGAATTCATAGGGGTCCAGAGTTCGGGCAACGAGAAAGGCTATGATTGACGCGATGATCCCTGCCGACCAAAATGGGGTTTTGCATGGTTTTAACGCGGTTTTGCACCTCCATGGCTCCGTAATTGCTGGTCAAAACCTCGAAAAATGTCACAATCGTTTCCGACGTCCATACCACATCGCAGTCATAGCAGTCATAGCAGCCATTCAGCTCTCAACGGTCCGATTTGGGCCTTGTCTACCTTCTAAAGCCCCATGTCTATGTTGGATGCACTGCACTCTGAGTTCCCAGCAAGTTGCGTATAAGCCTGGCGGCTGGAGCTGCAAGATATTCCAAGGAAGCGAAGTATGGTGGAGTATCATGATACCAAGAACAAATTATCAGCCATCATGCAAACATGGCATGACTTTCGAAACATAGTTTTTGCAAACTTATTGAGTTACATTATGTTGGAATAAACTGAATCAAATAAAATCATATGTATTCCATAAATTTAAGTACACTTATGTAAACGCTATATATCACAAACTACACGAAATGTACATGAAAGAACTTTATTCGAACTTTTATATCTTCTTTTGCATAAACCAAATTTGTACTAAATTGTACAGTATGGTGCAAGACTAAATCACAGAAAACATTTTACTTTATATTCTATTCAAAACCGATATGAATATATGTTCGCATTCTTGTTTTATCGTATCAGTATCATATTGTGTTACATTACGTATATCACACGTACAATGTCATAGTGATATTATACATATCTGTATATATAGGTATAGGTATAAATAATAACGCCCAAAACTTATTAGAGTATAAGTTATAAAATGTTATAAGTATGATTGAGATTAAGGTTGATTCAGTATGTGTACAACTCAGCATCCACCTGTGCCTGGGAGATTTGGCATTGTTGGATTTGGCACGCTTCGCCTGGGCTGACAGCAATCCGGAGATGGTGCTGAAGCGCTGGGCGATGCTGGGTGGCACGGCACCTGCGTAGTTGATGGTATCGCCACCATCTGTCAGCAGGAGGACGCCAAGGCATTCTTTGATCTTGGCGCCGGGATTTGCCAAATGGCAGGTGGATGGTAGGAGCATGGTAGGAGGTACCGGTCGAAAAACACCGAAACCGAATCATGCTGATTCTTCAAAAATGATCAAACATGAGGAACATCTTCAGTTCAGATTGACCATCACTACCATCAGCAGATGGAAAAGCAAAAGACTCACAACCATCCAGACCGGAAGTTGTTGCTTGGGGCCCTGGCATCATGGACGCGCTCCAAGCGCAAAGGCTGGCAGCCTGCTGTTTGTCCAGCAGGGAGCTCACATCGACCCAAAAGCCTCAAAGCGACACAGGACTTCTCCTTGCAACTCCTACCGTAGGTGTAGTCGGTGTAGTTGACAAATGTTGACGGATCCGTTGACGGATGTTGACGGACTCAGCAAACTGGACGTTGTGGAAAGCAGGTCTCATCACTTGTGATACTTGTGCTATGAAAGCAAGGGACTAATACTTCTCTTAATCTCAGACATGACACATCACAGGAAACTAGTCAACACAGCACATTCTGGTCTGGAGCCTATCAAACTGACTCAAGGATGCAAATATAGGCAAGGAATACCGCTATCGCCGCTTTTTCACGTTATTTCACGTCCATGCCATTCCATGCCATTGTTCTCGGAAGACATGTCATCCCCTGTGCCTGTCATCCAGCTGAGCCCAATCGAGTCGGTCCCTACTCCTGACTGCCTGGCGACCAAATCAAGGGATCAAAAGGTCTTTTTGAAAGTCTGCAAAGGGAATAATGTGGAATAGTCATATAAATGTCATATATATTCATATACTCTTTGTGGTCTCTGCAAGAATAGCACACGAGAATGACAACTTCAAAGCACCACTGGAGCTTTAAGGTCCACCCAAAATTTTGTGTCGATGCCATCCGCATGGCTATTCGATGCTATTCGTATCCGCAGCGAATCATGAACGCGGTACCGTCAAAGGGATTCGTCGGCCAGCAACACTGACCACAGGCTCCTGGCAACTTCAATGCCAGGGCCATCCATTAAATCGATCTGACTAACATCATCCACCATCACCTTATCACATCTTATATATTCTATTTATATTCTTATATCACCTTATAGATCCCGATAGTCAGACTATGTCTGAAGCGGACATGGCTTTGATATCTTTGGCTGGTAACTCTCACGGCGAGTTGGATGCGATGCACCTGGGGAAACTCGTCGCTCCCAATCACCTCCGAAATCAGTGTGAGCTCAGACTCTAACAGCTCAAACATGCAAGCTGCAGTTTATTGCACTATTGTAACAACTATTGCATACTATTGATTACTATTGCACTATATTGCACTATATTAATTGCACTATTGCAGTATGTGTTGACATGCTTTGGGAATCTTTGACCGGCTCTGGACATCTCTGGACATTTGCAGATTGGCAGACCCTCTGCCCCTCTACTGGGCATCTCCACAGCCCAGCGTGCCCCACGGCGTGCCCGTTGAGCACTGGCCTGGGCCAAAGCTGCAGCACGCCCCAGCACCATGCGTCGCAACCACGCGCAGCATGGCCATGGGATGCCATGGACACAGTGGACACATGGACACCAAAAAGATGCAAAAAGCTTCAAAAAGATGTGCAATGCATTGCTTTTTGATCTTTTTGATCTTTTTGCATTGCAATGCATTGCACATTGCTTTTGGGCTTTGCATCTCGGTGAACCCACCGGAAAGCAATGAATTTGTCTGGGCATTCTTTACAAAGATACGAAGCCAAGCAAATCTGACTGGCTAGACTTTGCAGCGTGCCTAATTTTGACCGGGGATGGTTAGAAATGGTGTTGCACAATCACAACTTCACTCTTTTTACGAGCTATCGCCAGCCAAATGCCACAGTGAATGAATGCGAATGAGCAATGTGCAATTCATGCCTTGCTACTTCACTCACTTTTTTTTTCACTTCAGTTCTGTGCCCAGCGCGATACCTGGGTCCCGAGCTGACAGACTTCAGACTCCATGCGATGCACGGGGATCTGCTATTGGCTGGCGGGGTGTCCACGCCAGCATTGAAAACGTTGTGAAGCTGCAGGTACTGCCAGCCACACCGCAAGAAACTTGGTAAAAACGGAAAAGAATGGTGGCTGTATGTTTCATGTGATACAAAGGTTCATGGCACTGTCCCAGCTTCGCTGGTCTGCCACCCAAGACAAGTCAATTAAGCAGCTCAGGTCTCATGATAGATCATGATAGCAACCCGAAAGCTGAAAAACATAGGATAGATCATGATACATCCATTCAGAATCATTCAGAATGCCTGTAGAATCAGAATCATTGTTCGCGCTCTGGCTTCTCTTGGGCTTATTGATCTTATTGTTCGGCAACAAGGCGCAACTCTTGCTCCTCACGAGCAAACTACACATTTTGAAAGACAGAACAAACTTGAAATAACTTGAAGTACTATGAAAATCTATGAAGATCTATGAAGTACAGTAAGCGAATCTGCAGGTAGTCTGCAGCCGCCAGGGCTAAGGTTACCAGCGGTAATCGGTTGTCAGAGTCCCGCCCTGGTGGCTCAGTGTTAAAGCTGTGAAGGGACGTCACCCAAACCTTGGTCATTCGCGGGCGCAACCCGACATAAAACATCAGGTGGACATCAGTTGGACATCAGTTGGACATCAGTTGGACATCAGGTGGACATCAGTTGGACATCAGTTGGACATCAGTTGGACATTAGTTGGACATCAGGTGGACATCAGTGGACATCAGGTGGACATCAGTTGGACATCAGTGGACATCAGTGGACATCAGTGGACATCAGTTGGACATCAGTTGGACATCAGTTGGACATCAGTTGGACATCAGTTGGACATCAGCTGGACATCAGTTGGACATCAGTTGGACATCAGTGGGCATCAGGTGGACATCAGTTGGACATCAGTTGGACATCAGTTGGACATCAGTTGGACATCAGTGGACATCAGTTGGACATCAGTAGACATCAGTTGGACATCAGTTGGACATAGGTGGACATCAGTTCGACATCAGTTGGACATCAGTTGGACATCAGTTGGACATCAGTTGGACATCAGGTGGACATCAGTTCGACATCAGTTGGACATCAGTTGGACATCAGTTGGACATCAGTGGACATCAGTTGGACATCAGTTCGACATCAGTTGGACATCAGTTGGACGTCAGTTGGACATCAGTTCGACATCAGTTGGACATCAGCTGGACATCAGTTGGACATCAGTTGGACATCAGTTGGACATCAGTTGGACATCAGTGGACATCAGGTGGACATCAGCTCGACATCAGTTGGACATCATGCAGTTGGACATCAGTCGGACATCAGTTGGACATCAGTGGACATCAGTTGGACATCAGTTGGACATCAGTTGGACATCAGTTGGACATCAGTTGGACATCAGTTGGACATCAGTGGACATCAGGTGGACATCAGTTGGACATCAGTTGGACATCAGTTGGACATCAGTTGGACATCAGTGGACATCAGGTGGACATCAGTTGGACATCAGTTGGACATCAGTTGGACATCAGTGGACATCAGTGGACATCAGTTGCACATCAGTTGGACATCAGTGGGCATCAGTTGGACATCAGGTGGACATCAGTTCGACATCAGTTGGACATCAGTTGGACATCAGTTGGACATCAGTGGACATCAGGTGGACATCAGTTCGACATCAGTTGGACATCAGTTGGACATCAGTTGGACATCAGTTGGACATCAGTTGGACATCACTTGGACATCAGTTGGACATCAGTTGGACATCAGTTGGACATCAGTGGACATCAGGTGGACATCAGTGGACATCAGTTGGACATCAGTTGGACATCAGTTGGACATCAGTTGGACATCAGTTGGACATCAGTGGACATCAGCTGGACATCAGTGGACATCAAATGACATCAGTGGACATCGGTTGGACATGAGCTGGACATGAGTTGGACATGAGTGAGTTGGACATGAGTTGGACATGAGTTGGACATGAGTTAGTTGGACATCAGTGGACATGAGTTGGACATGAGTTGGACACGAGTTGGACATGAGTTGGACATGAGTTAGTTGGACATGAGTTGGACATGAGTTGGACATCAGTTGGACATGAGTTGGACATCAGTGTTGGACATCAGTGTTGGACATCAGGTGGACATCAGGTGGACATCAGTTGGACATCAGTTGGACATCAGTTGGACATCAGTTGGAAATCAGGTGGACATCAGTTGGACATCAGTTGACATCAGTTGGACATCAGTTGGACATCAGTTGGGCATCAGTTGGACATCAGTTGGACATCAGTTGGACATCAGTTGGACATCAGTTGGACATCAGTTGGACATCAGTTCGATATCAGTTGGACATCAGTTGGACATCAGTTGGACATCAGTGGACATCAGGTGGACATCAGTTGGACATCAGTTGGACATCAGTTGGACATCAGTTGACCATCAGTTGGACATCAGTGGACATCAGGTGGACATCAATGGACATCAGTTGCACGTCAGTTGGACATCAGGTGGACATCAGGTGGACATCAGTTGGACATCAGTGGACATCAGGTGGACATCAGTTGGACATCAGTTGGACATCAGTTGGACATCAGTGGACATCAGTGGACATCAGTGGACATCAGTGGACATCAGTTGGACATCAGTGGACGTCAGTTGGACATCAGTGGACATCAGTGGACATCAGTGGACATCAGTGGACATCAGCTGGACATCAGTTGGACATCAGTTGGACATCAGTTGGACATCAGTGGACATCAGTTGACATCGGTGGGCATCAAATGACATCAGTGGACATCAGTGGACATCAGTTGCACATCAGTTGGACATCAGTTGGACATCAGTGGATATCAGTGAACATCAGTGGACATCAAATGACATCAGTGGACATCGGTTGGACATGAGCTGGACATGAGTTGGACATGAGTGACTTGGACATGAGTTGGACATGAGTAGGACATCAGTGGACATGAGTTGGACATGAGTTGGACATGAGCTGGACATGAGTTGGACACGAGTTGGACACAGTTGGACATGAGTTGGACATGAGTTGGACATGAGTAGGACATCAGTGGACATGAGTTGGACATGAGTTGGACATGAGCTGGACATGAGTTGGACACGAGTTGGACACAGTTGGACATGAGTTGGACATGAGTTGGACATGAGTAGGACATCAGTGGACATGAGTTGGACATGAGTTGGACATGAGCTGGACATGAGTTGGACACGAGTTGGACACAGTTGGACATGAGTTGGACATGAGTTGGACATGAGTTGGACATGAGTTGGACATGAGTTGGACATGAGTTGGACATGAGTTGGACATCAGTGGACATCAGTTGGACATCAGTTGGACATCAGTGGACATGAGTTGGACATGAGTTGGACATGAGTTGGACATGAGTTAAGTGGACACGAGTTGGACATGAGTTGGACATGAGTTGGACATGTTGGACATGAGTTAGTTGGACATGAGTTGGACATCAGTGGACATGAGTTGGACATGAGTTGGACATGAGTTGGTCATGAGTTGGACATGAGTTGGACATGAGTTGGACATGAGTTAGTTGGACATGAGTTGGACATCAGTGGACATCAGTTGGACATGAGTTGGCCATGAGTTAGTTGGACATGAGTTGGACATGAGTTGGGCATCAGTTGGACATCAGTTGGACATCAGTGGACATCAGTTGGACATCAGCTGGACATCAGTTGGACATCACTTGGACATCAGTTGGACATCAGCTGGACATCAGTTGGACATCAGTGGACATCAGTTGGACATCAGCTGGACATCAGTTGGACATCAGTGGGCATCAGTTGGACATCAGCTGGGCATCAGTTGGACATCAGCTGGACATCAGTTGGACATCAGTTGGACATCAGTGGACATCAGTTGGACATCAGCTGGACATCAGTTGGACATCAGTGGACATCAGTTGGACATCAGCTGGACATCAGTTGGACATCAGTGGACATCAGTTGGACATCAGTTGGACATCAGTTGGACATCAGCTGGACATCAGTTGGACATCAGTGGACATCAGTTGGACATCAGCTGGACACCAGTTGGACATCAGTGGACATCAGTTGGACATCAGTTGGACATCAGTTGGACATCAGTTGGGCATCAGCTGGACATCAGTTGGACATCAGTGGACATCAGTTGGACATCAGCTGGACATCAGTTGGACATCAGTTGGACATCAGTTGGACATCAGCTGGACATCAAATGGACATCAGTGGACATCAGTTGGACATCAGGTGGACATCAGTTGGACATCAGCTGGACATCAGTTGGACATCAGTTGGACATCAGCTGGACATCAGTTGGACATCAGTTGGACATCAGTTGGACATCAGTTGGGCATCAGTTGGACATCAGTTGGACATCAGTTGGACATCAGGGACATCAGTGGACATCAGTTGGACATCAGTTGGACATCAGTTGGACATCAGTTGGACATCAGTTGGACATCAGCTGGACATCAGTTGGACATCAGTTGGACATCAGTGGGCATCAGTTGGACATCAGTTGGACATCAGTTGGACATCAGCTGGACATCAGTTGGACATCAGTGGACATCAGTTGGACATCAGTTGGACATCAGTTGGACATCAGGTGGACATCAGTTCGACATCAGTTGGACATCAGTTGGACATCAGTTGGACATCAGTTGGACATCAGTTGGACATCAGTTGGACATCAGCTTGGACATCAGCTGGACATCAGTTGGACATCAGCTGGACATCAGTTGGACATCAGTTGGACATCAGCTTGACCATCAGTTGGACATCAGTTTTCGACATCAGTTGGACATCAGCTTGGACATCAGTTGGACATCAGTTGGACATCAGCTGGACATGGACATCAGTGGACATCAGTTGGACATCAGTGGACATGTGACATCAGTGGACATCAGGACATCAGTTGGACATCAGTTGGACATCAGTTGGACATCAGTTGGACATCAGTGGACATCAGTTGGACATCAGTTGGACATCAGTTGGACATCAGTTGGACATCAGTTGGGACATCAGTTGGACATCAGTTGGACATCAGTTGGACATCAGTGGACATCAGGGACATCAGTTGGACATCAGTTGGACATCAGTGGACATCAGTTGGACATCAGTTGGACATCAGTTGGACATCAGTTGGACATCAGTTGGACATCAGTGGACATCAGGACATCAGTTGGACATCAGTTGGACATCAGTTGGACATCAGTGGACATCAGTTGGACATCAGTTGGACATCAGTGGACATCAGTTGGACATCAGTTGGACATCAGGTGGACATCAGTTGGACATCAGTGGACATCAGGACATCAGTTGGACATCAGTTGGACATCAGTTGGACATCAGTGGACATCAGGGACATCAGTGGACATCAGTGGACATCAGTTGGACATCAGTGGACATCAGTTGGACATCAGTGGACATCAGTTGGACATCAGTGGACATCAGTGGACATCAGCAGGACATCAGTTGGACATCAGTTGGACATCAGTTGGACATCAGTGGACATCTTGGACATCATCAGTGACATCAGTGGACATCAGTTGGACATCAGCAGCATCAGTTGGACATCAGTTGGACATCAGTGACATCAGTGGACATCAGGACATCAGTTGGACATCAGTTGGACATCAGTTGGACATCAGTTGGACATCAGTGGACATCAGTTGGACATCAGTGGACATCAGTTGGACATCAGTTGGACATCAGTTGGACATCAGTTGGACATCAGTTGGACATCAGTTGGACATCAGTTGGACATCAGCTGGACATCAGCTGGACATCAGCTGGACATCAGCTGGACATCAGTTGGACATCAGTTGGACATCAGTTGGACATCAGTTGGACATCAGTTGGACATCAGTTGGACATCAGTTGGACATCAGTTGGACGTTAACTTTTACACTCCCGGGAACAAACGTGTCTCAGGCTACCGTTTCAGGTATCAACTAACATGTCCACTCTATACCGGCGTTTTCCTGGGGAATGCATTGCAACTTTCTTTTTACACATTGACCCAAAAACAGCTAACATGTCTCAGTTCCTGCAATTGGGGCCCTTGGATTTCGACCCTGATCTGGGATATGTTAGTTATTTTTGGGGGATAGATTCAGCCAATAACCACTCACATATCTCAAAACCACATCCTCTGAACAACACGGACACGTTAGGTGGACGTTTTCCATGGCCAGTAACCCTTAGTAAATGCAACTGGTTTCTGGAACACACCCCCAATCTTCCTGCCCACCCACGGGCATCATCTATGATGCGCTCTTCCGGAAGGAGTTGGGACCCCTTTTTTCTCCACCGTTTTGTTATCAATGCGGTCTTTGATTTGAGCCCTATTGGGGTCTGGAAATAAAGATGCTGGGGCGTCCGGGGCGGTAGTCTTCTGGCAGTTTCCCGGGAACCCCCAGAGGGGGGGACAACTTTTCCACTAACATGTCCATTCTGGATTTTCAACTAACATGTCTCAAGTATAGGGCATTTATCATAGCCTATGTTCACAGCAGCTAACGTATCCAAAAAAAAATATTTTCCACAAAAAAAGTGGATACGTTTGTTCCCTAGAGAGTAAACAACGTGCAACATGTGCAAACAACGTGATGACGTGATGCCAATGGGATCTCCGGGCGACTCAACAGGCGCGGATGTGCGGGAGCTCGCGGTCTCAACGCCGCTCTGTGAGGCACCTCCACAGTGCAACTGTTTCGAATGTTGCGACACGTTATCTTGAAATGTGTTAAAACACGTTTTGAAACATATTGAAACATCTGAAATCACCCATTAGTGCTGTGGCAACACCTGACCACAGTGCTCTCACCTCCTGCGGGTAGTGCACCGTTTGAAGATGTTTGAAGATGTTTGAAGATGTTTCCAATTGTTTCAAGTTTCTCCTTTTGCTTCCGTCAGTCATTTCATGTCATTTCTACAACGCCACAGTACCCACCGCCAGGGTGCAAACCTCGCCGATCCATCTCTGCTTCACGTTCGTCAACCTTGGGCCTACAACATGACAAAGATCCACAAAGATCCACAAAGATCCACAAAGCCAAGGACAATCGGCAATAAAATGCTTGATGCAAATCTTTGAAGCAAACATATGACATATATTGACATATAACGTTAAGTGAGCATAGTGAACATAGTGAACTTTCAAGTGACAGCACTGACAGCACTGACTGCACTGACTGCACAGTCAAATCAAACCTTTGCCGAAACCGAAACGTGGGAAGTCTCGCTGCCTGGAGCCACGTCCGGTGGGTCCTGGCAGGACACCATGCCATGACACGTCCTTCGGCCTTCGGAAGCTGTTTCAACGTTACTCGAAGCGCCAAATCCCGAATCAAATCTTACTTTAGCACTTTAGCCGCATGCTACAGCACTTGCTGCATACTGATTACATGCCTGTACTTTGCAGATTGTGCAGTTTGTAGAAATCTTACCCCCTACAAATTGCACAAACTACGGGGTATGTACTCAGGGCATTGATTCAATCAATCCAATTTGACGATACTGTACCGTTGTGAGATATTGTGAGCGCTGCTTTTGAAAGTGCCAGTCTTCTTCTGGCACGTGCTTCACTACTCTTTTCCGGCGCACAGTGGCCGACTGGGTCAAACTAAAAGCACGCAGCAAAAAAACGCACGTGGATCTACATGTGTTTAAACGAGTGGAGGATCAGAAAAAAAAAATCCAGATCAAAAAAAAATTAAAACACTAGGATCTAAAAATAATTATTGCCTATTTCATCTAAATTTAGTGGTAGGTTAGGTTTAATTTTTTTTTGATCTGGAAATATTTTTTCTTGATCCCCCGAGGCTAGGGGAGATCAAGCTGCTCGAAAGCATCAAAAAAAAATTATTCAATTTTTTTTTTCCCTTTTTCCCTCCTCCCTCCCTCCCTCCCTCCCTCCTTCCTTCCTTCTTTCCTTTGTTCCTTCCTTCCTTCTTTTCGGGCGCGAAATTAAGTTGGCAATTTTTTATTTTTTTGGCATGTTTTTTTTTTTGGTCGTCCAGGCTCCCTTCCGTGCTTTTTGCACCTAAAATCTCTCATTTGCTGCATTTTGTAGCTAAAATCTCTCATTCGCACTGTTCATCAATTTTTCCAGTGGTTTCATGAATTTTTCCATGGTGCTTATCGAGTTTTCCATGGTTTTCATTGATTTTTCCATGATTTTCATGGAATTTTCCAAGATGTTCATGGATTTTCCATGGTTTTCGTTAATTTTGCCATAGTATTCTTCAATTTTTCCATGGTTTTCTTCAATTGCTCTATGGTCTTCTTCGATTGTTCCGTGGTTTTCTTCCATTTGTCAATGGAATTGTCTATGTTTTTCTTCAATTTTTGTATGGTGTTCATTCATGTTTTACTGGTTTTCATTCATTGTTCCAAAGTTTTCATTGATTTTTACATTGATTTCATTGTTTTTTATTCCGAAGTGTTCATTGATTTTTGGAGATACATGATGTGCAAACTATAAACTGTAGATGTATAGAGGCATACATGCATAACTAATCATGACTATATGCATATGTATATCAATGTATTTACAAGTGTAATTAATATATCTGCAGGGTTTGGTTTTAGGGTTTATTTAGGGTTGCTTTATGGTTTATTCTAGATTTGTTTAAGGTCTATTTAGGGTTGGTTTTAAGGTTTCTTTCGGGCTGGTTTAGGGTCTGTTTAGGGTTTGTTTAGGGTTGGATTAGGGGTTATTTAGGGATACAACATGTACATACAAATAACTATACTTATGTGGACGCATATGCATGCACATGATTATTTACAGTTTATTTTGGGATGAAAGCTGTGTATATAAACAACCATATGTATATATATACAATATATATATATATATAATTGTATATACAATGTATATATATATATAGTCTAACCAAACTAGTGTATTGAAATGTGTGCAAGCTTGAATTTAAAGAAAAAAAACGGGAGGGGGGGATTGGGGGGGCCTCCCCCCCAATGCAGATTGGAAACACCTATTTTCACATGCAAGGTGCTAGGTTGAATGTGATACTCAAGGTGTATACACTACACGACATGCACCTTGGAAACATGTGGAATGTAGGTTAAGGCACAACGATGCACAATAGTTTCATTTGATGTTATCATCGAGTTGGTTTAAGATCTATTTATATAAGGTTTGGTTAAGGGTTGGCTTGGGGTTTGAATATCATCCGGATGATAATGCAAACCTTTTAGATATGTATATATATACAGATATATATAGATATATAGATATATAGATAAATAGATATATAGATGTAAAGATATATAGATAATAAAGATATATGTATATATACATATATAGAAATATAGATAGATATATACAGATATATAGATATATGGTGGTATATAAATATATAAATATAAATAGAGAGAGATAGATATAGAGATATTTATATAGATATTAAGATATATAGATATATAGATAGATATATATATATAAAGATATAGAGATATATATATATAGATAGATAGATAGATAGATAGATAGATAGATAGATAGATAGATAGATAGATAGATGTATGAAGATATATATAGATATATATAGAGATATATAGAGATATATAGAGATATAAATAGAGATATAGATATATAGATATATAGATAATTTTATAGATATATGATATATATATAGATATATAGATACAGCCATAGATGTAGATATAGATACATATATAGATAGACATAGATAGATATAGATACGTAGATACAAATAGATATAGATAGATATAGATGGATATAGATGGATATAGATAGATATAGATAGATATAGATAGATACAGATAGATATAGATAGATATAGATAGATACAGATAGATACAGATAGATATAGATAGATTTAGATAGATATAGATAGATACAGATAGATCTTCCTTCCTTCCTTCCTTCCTTCCTCCCCTTCCCTTCCTTTCCTTTTCTTTCCTTTTCCTTTCCTTCTCTCCTACTAGTTGCTATTGTTTTGAGACCGAAAAAATTTTTTTGATCCGGAATTTTTTTTTCTTGATCCGGAAAATTTTTTTCTTGATCCGGATTTTTTTTAAAAAAAAACCCTCCCCCTGTTTAAACAGCCTCCAAATCTACACAACAAGAAACAACAGGTACGAGATTGTACGAGTACAAATGAGTACAGTAACTTTTGATTTGGGTTATGTGAGCCTTGCGGCTGCATCTGGCGGCCTCTGGAGGTGTCTTTGGAGGTGCTTCTTCCGCTTCCGAATCTCTTGATTCTCCTGTGCACAATATCGATCTCGGAGCTCAAGGGTTGCATGCGCACTCACACACACAGATATATAAGAGAGAGAGTGGCACAAACAGACAGACAGACACATACACAATGCACTGGCACGCAGAAAGTCAAGCAAAACGGCGCTGCGTTGCTTTGGCGCCTTGTCGGCTGAGCAACGTTTGGAGGCGCACGCGCAACGTGGCTGCAGCTTTGACACACGCCTGAGTGGCTGCGTTCTGAAGCAAATCTTCCATCACCTGTGGGCACAGCCGTTTTAAAGGCACCATGGACATCCATGACCACAGCACACCATGCCGCATGGATCTCAATCTCTACTGATCTCTATGGGTCAGATATCTCCATGAATCTCCATGGATTTCCGGGAGTCTTGGGATGGGTCGAGGTATGTCGTATGTCGTCAAGGGGAATCTGTGCTGCCCCGCCGCCCCACCTGCATTGCGCTCTGCAAGGCAGCATCAAGCTCTCGATCAGAGACACAACCTGCTGGCGAGCTTGACGCTGGAATGATGACAGCGGCGGGCTCTGTTCCCAGAAATGCGATGAAACTTCTACCACCTCAATGACAACACAAAGACTCTGCACATCTACGCGCCCATGTGGCCCATTCGGAAATCATGTTTTCGACACAGCGACTAGCACTGGATAGCATTGTTCTAGTGTGCAAAATCTCCCATTTCTGCCCCCATCTGCCCTCTCTCCTGCGCTTTCTTGCAGCTGATCTTCGTGCAAAATCAGGTCCTGTCGCGAATTGTGACTCTCTGAATGAGGCGATGCTTATTTTGCCCATTCCAGTGCTGGGGAGCCCTCAAGGAAGCAGCGTGGGTTGAGATTAAAAACATGACACCACAAGTAGGTGCTGTCTCAGCTGAGTTCTTGCTGACAGGGTGTGAGAAAAATAGTAGTTGAAAGTTGAAAGCATGCAAAATCCTTGAACAGCCATTGGAAGGTACCCAGCAGCAAGAACGTGCTATGAACAGCAACAGCTCTCGAAGATTGAACACACCTTCTGATGAACTTTTACCAGGGTTTACCAGGGCACGTATAGGCTACCAATAAGCTACCAGCTTCGAGAACTTCGAGACCGGTGAAAGGGCTGCTTCGAGCCTTTCTGGATAGCATCTGAGGAGGAATGGGAAGCTCCTGCCGGAAGAAGATTCGGATGGTAAGACGGACCATGGTGGACTATGGTGGACCATGGTGGACCGGTCCAACCCCCGTAATATACCGAAGCGCCGAAGAGTCAGCGTCAATAGAGTTGCATTCAGCAAAATGCATCAAAATGCATCAAAATGCTGCAAGTGGAAGATAGTGCAAGAGTAGGGCAAGGGATGCAAGTGGACTTTCACCATCAAATACCATCAATATCAGCATCTAAGATATCTAAGAATTTCAAGCACTGAAGCTTGGGCTCCAAGCTACCTGGCAGCTACCTTTCTCATGATTTTGTAACCAGTCTGCTCCGATCTTCTGGTCTTTGATTGTCTTTGATGGTCTTTGTACTATTTTGATATATTTTGATATATTTTGATATATATTTTGGGAGATTTTGGGAGGAATAAGATGGAATCAGAACAGGCGGCGCTGCGGTCCAGGCTGTCCTTCTCCTGGGTGCTGTCGCTGCGCGAGTTGTTGTTGGCACTGCTCATTGGTAGAGACGACGGTGATCCCGGTCGGGCAACTGTGCCTGGCGACATCTGGCGACATGCGACGGCAGGACTGCAATGGAAGATGCAGTCTGTTCGGACCAACCGGAAAAATGCCCGGCTTTTGCGATGTCTAATCCTCATACACCCCCGCAACACTGACATGTGGCTGCAATATGCTGCAGTATCATTTTAGCATGACCTTGGCTAGCTCTGTAAAAACATTGCAACCAAATAAACATAATAAAACAACTTTGAATTTACATGAAATACATGAAAATTCATCATTATTCATTATCCAAGTAATATACATACAATATTGATAATATTCACCATTATATATTCATTATATATTCATTATATATTCATTATATATTCATTATATATTCATTATTGTACATTATTTTACATTGATCCAAGTGGTGATCCCACTGGGACTGTCTCGCTGCTCCAGTAGCTCCACCTCCAGGCACTCCACCCTGAAACGGCTGAACCCCACTGATGCCCCAAGGCCCAAGATTCTTCACTTTGCTGAAAACTGGGGGAACTGCTACTGAAATCTGATGGCAAAATGGACAAAATATTGGATAAAATATGATAAACTGGATTAACATGGCAGAATGAGAGTTTGTGGGTCAGGAATGGGGTTGAAACCGTGGTTCAGGCAGCTTAGAAGCTCAAAGCAATTTCGACTGGACTGGACCTATGGGATCTAGCAGCTAAAGGGTGGCCCGCTGACAATGTTTGTTTGTGGATGCGTGGCCTTCAAATGTCCTGAATGTATGTGTCTCGATTCGTGTCACTCCAGGTTGTGGAGTTTCCCCACTTTGTTCCTCCTCATCATAGCTTTGTCGCTACATCGAGAAATTTACAAGCAAAACAAAAGAAGAAAACCATAAGCGGCCATGAAAACCAGACAGCGTGGCTAGGGCCCGTGAAAAACCACCACATCTGGGTCTGAAAGGCTGCCTCAATCTTGCTTCCAAGGGAATTCATTGCTTATTATCACATACCACAAACGAATCCTCAGGTCGAAAAAAAAAACATCCGATTGTTTGTCAAATGCATGATTGAAACCACCTGAAAGCTATATCTTGCATGTCTTCATTTTGCTGCGGTCACTCAAAGGCGCTCATTTAAACGTGTTCAGTTTGTTCAGTTCAAAGCGATCCACGATAATCCACAGGTGTGCAAAATCACTTCAGCGCTTCTCAGCACTTGCCAGCTCGGCGACTGGGCTGCCCAACACTGCGGCCAGAAAAGCTGCCTTAAGGTCAAGACAAAAAGTCAAACGATAGGTCAATTATGGTCTATTAGCCAAACACGAGACACTCATGTCATTGAATCATAACCATATCGGATCGGTTTCTCTAGCAGACTCTAGCACAAATAGCAGCCAAACCAAAACACGTGATGGGCAGTAGCGCACTGGCAAGTGCCGCATGATGCTGTAGTTGTCTTCGGCACAGCTGCAACTCTTACATGTCTTAACATATTTAAACATATTAAAACCATATTTGACATATGTAACATATATTTAACATATTTAACCAAATCTTGACAGATCTTAAGCAATCTTAAAGGCTGGCAATGCTGATGCCGACAGCTGACTGCATAGACTGCTTGGCTCAAATTGTCGAGGTGATCCAAGGTGCTGCCGAGGTGCTGAGGGTCATGGATTGCGACAAGTTGTGATCGCCCAGCTGCATAGAATCCCAGGGCATTGGCGAAGTTTGTGGGCGGCTGGCCTGGTGGCACTGGTGGCCCACGGTCGCTTCAAAAGATCCAGCTCTGAATTGCGGGAAGTATGAAATTTAATTTCAATGGCCATCATCCAAAATCCAAACATCTTCAATGGTTCAAACCTATCCAAACACCAACCCAAACATATTT